TTTATATTTTTGAAGCTTCTGTATAGCCTAAACACGAATACGGTAATGTTGCAATGCCTCGAAATATCGTCAATTCTCGTCAGACGGCCAAGATGGAGAGAGATTTATTAGTATGCTTATGCTCTGGAACGATTAGGTTAGAGAGAAGGTTATAGAGAAGGTGAAGGATTTTAATTAATATTACGTAGTATTTCATTGTAATTACTCTATTATCTCCATAGTCAAATACTCCAAATCTCGTTTAAATGCCTCAATTTCGCCGTAGCCTGCAGTGCTCTACTTGAAATGCTCCACCGCAAATCTATCACAGCTACTAACATCGATTACATGCTTTCGCTCTTATCGATACGCTGTCGATACACTGGAACAGGCATCCGCAGCTACGGCTTTAGATCGCCAATGGGATTCGAGTAAGAGTTGGGTATGCTGGCGTACAGAGGGATCCTTTCTAAATGGTGGCATCGCGTCCGGAGTAATCTTAAGGGCTGGCGATGTGGCTATTACACGCCTAAGTTAGAGGTAAAACACCAGAAAAAGCGTGTATACCCACTAGCTTCGATATCACGAATGTCTAACTGAGGTAGCAGACGACAGTAGCTATTGCAAGAGTGGCAAGTACGTTCTCTACAATCTTTTATGAATGACGCTAACAAAAAGTCGGAGGCGGAGCTGAATCAGCTTTGCCAAGCATTCTTATTTAATTTGCAATTCATAAATAAAGCTAGAAAGAACGACCCCGCAGGAAGCACCTTCCGACTTGTAGGGAAGCGGTCATACGCTTTCAAGCCTACAACTAGTATAAGTTACTGTTTAGTGACGGACTACTAGTGATCACCTTTTGGTCTAGTCGTAACGGTTAGCAAAACCCGTCCCGCTTCTGTTGGGGGTATTTAGTTCGTATTAGGTTCGATTCCTAATGGCGCTGGTACAATGGTGTTGCGGTGCTTCTTATTTTCTAGTCTAGTATCTGTTGTTGGAGGTATTTGTTTGGCGGAGATATTGAGTTCGTATTAGGTTCGATTCCTAATGGCGCTGGTACAATGGTGTTGCGATGCTTCTTATTTTCTGTATCATCATTGCAATTTGCAAAAGCACAGGACATGTCTTACTACCCGAGTACACAACATAGAACTGGACTGGAGCCTTGTAAAGCCTGCCAAAGTCAAACGGTCAATAAATTCCGATAATTTGGCCCATGAATAACAGATGAATGCAAACCTGAGACACAGGATTGGAGACAAGTGGAGATGTTTGATTCTATCCCGCTCACTCTGATTCAGCACGGTCCTGAAACTTCACAAAGTACATACATACTACACCAGACATATAACCTACCCGATGGTGGAACTACCGCTGCAACAAACGAGGCACATACAATTCAACAAAGGCTGGTTCCAACATTCAGGCAGTGCGACGAACAGTGAAGTTGCGCCGCCGGGGACCATTGATTTACCGCTGTTCCTCTTCACCTTCAATTGGATGCCGCTGGTCAGATCCTTGCCCGCTTGAGGCTGACTATAATCAACGGCATTCCTCGACACCTTATCCTGGAATTTGGAAGCTTTGTCGCTCGGACCTCCGTTGGCTAAGTCGCAGAGAAATGCCATGATGGCTGAGAGATACTGTGAGCGTAGCGCTGTAATGATTGAAGACTATGGACAGCATCCATGGTCTCTAAGACTGTTGCGTTGCGGAGTCGAAAAATGCGAACGAGATTAGATCCAGGGGGTGATGGATAGGCAGACTGAAGAAACTGCGACAGTTATGGGTGATGCTGATGGCACCAATCTGTGCTAAGGATCCCCAACGCTGTGATCAATTCGCTCGTTTTACAATTTTAGCAAACATTCTGCAAAAACCAGAGGTTGTACGGTAGACAAGTGTTGCAGGTGGATTGTAGCTCATCTGAACGATCGTAAATTCCTGAAGCTCCAAAGTTTCATTCACAAGGAGACTCATCGCTTCGCCATCCATGAACCCATGAACATAGCACTCGCCGACAAAAGACCAGCTTTCGCCGACTGGGCGGAGAATGTAGAAAACGTGGCCTCCAAGGAGGAGACAAATCTCATCGCCAGGCCGAGTTTCCCCCGGAGCCAAGCACATGTAGCCGTTTTCTGACAAGACAAAACTCCTACCAACTGTTGCGAAAAGAAGAGAGCCCCATTCAAGTCGCCGCTGGGGTGATGCGGGTTGCTCTGTGTAGTCTTTTATAGAACGCCAGAAACTCCAATTAACACTGTAGCCTCGCTCCCTCAGAGGTCCTTTCTTGGCAACGTCGGCCACGATGGTACGGCTGAAAGCCTCAAGAATTGTCTCGCAAGTTGGTTCGTAAACACCTTGGAGGTTCTCCGGCTCCCATCCCCTTATGACGTCGCTCTCGGAGTCGCGATGTGCATCTTGGTAGTATGGAAGACCGGTGGCCACAGCCTTGCCTATGCAGAATCCTTCAGTAACGAGCTTCGGTTTTTGAAGTTTTGAGAAGGATAGATGACGTTTCTGAGACGTAACATCAGCACTAGAGGAGTAAATCCTTTTCGCTGCGGGATCTGAAGCGCAGATACTTGGTCTGTGCTTTGAAAGATAGGCGAAAGGATGTCTAACGCTAGGATCGCGCCAGTTCGGGACCCACGACGGTAAGTCAAGGTCCCGCGAGGAAGGATTGCAATAGCCCAAACATTCAAGAGAACCTCGATGCAATACGCAATGTTCAGCCACTTTGAGGTAAACAGTCGGGAGATCTAGAACGTAATCGCAAACCAAGATATCCGTCAAGGCTTCGGTGACTAAACCCAGCAATGCATATACCTTGTCCCTTGGGTCTGTAGCCTTGTAGTGTCGATAATTGGCAAGCGTTCCTAGGAGATCTGCTTGATACTTCCCACCCCCAATCAATCTTTGAAGATGATCCAAATTGAAGAGCCCGCGCATAGAGGTCGTGCCGAGAGCACCAGTGTTTGGGAAATACACTTTCAGATCCGGTCTTTGAATGGCATGAGAAAGAAATTTGGCCGCAGCAATAAAACTCCACCAATCGATCTTAGAGTCTCCACACTGGATAGTCTTCGTTTTGACGGGTGCCGCCGCCTCTTGAACCGTCCATACCCGTTCGAACCAATCCCGAGTAATCAGGGATCTGAACGCTTCTACAGGTGTAGTATCAAATTTGGAGTTGCACTCATCCAAAAGAGTTGACAGATCAGCTGGACTCTTACTCCGAAACTCCGACTCAACATCACTGAGATTGAGCCCCTGATCTGACCAGTATGCTGAGATTGTGGATGCTAGCGCTAGCGCTGAGGCGCTTCCATCTCCTTCGGGCCCAAGCCAAATCAGGACTCCTATGGACCGCCCATATATCTGCTGCATTTTTCGGACTTGGGCGCTCTTCTCCGCAATGTCTAGCTGGTTAATGCATATAGCGTCAATCCAAAATGTGCGAGTCTCCTCATGTGAGCGCAAATGTTGCAGGGCTTCATACAGACTTTGCGTAACACCCATCTCTGTTTGGTCTATGAATATTTTGTAGCTTTTTGAGTGTTTGCCCCAGACGTACGACAGTGCACAATATGGCGGAGGCTTATCAAGATTTATCGCCCTTACTTCGCACTGAATCGGCGATGAATGATCTCCTGGTAGTATATTGACCACTCTAGTCATGTTCAACAATGGTTGTAACTGTGTGTACTTGAAAAACCCTTGTGATGCCATCTCGGCCGAAGATTGGGCCAATAGTGCGTAGTGTCTTTGCTGGAATAATCGATGACAGATCTGTTAGGGCTGAACTCTTAGGTAGCAGTCCAAGGTACGAGTAGATAGTAAAATCAAGTGGTGGTCGCCTCGCGACCAGGCGGCGGAAATCTTCCGCTACGCATAACATCCGGTTAGGGCGGAAGCATGGAGGACAGCAGTGCCAATGTCTCGTGTACGAGTATGAGCTTGAAGATGACGAACCTAACTCTTGGCTCATCTCTCTGCTGAAGGGTTTTGCACATATTCAGTCGTTTTGAAAGATTGGTCGACGTTTCGCTAAGCGTCAGAGAATCTCGAACCGGGTGGATTAGAAACGTCGCTCTCGACCATGGGACAGAATACTTCGGGAACGATATCCAGGTCGGAATCACGGTTCCATAATCTGTTCTCTACCTGTGCACCCCCTCTGCCAGAGATTGAGCAACCAAACATTTTCAGCTTGTACAATATAGCTTGAAGATCCTGCTTGACGCTGCCAGTCCGTCAATGGTCACAATCAAGAGACATTGCAAACCTCAGAGGCAACTTTGATCCTAGGCGGGAGATCGACGCGCTCGTATCATTGATCATTGTGCGAGTCCCTGGACTCTACGTGTCGGATTGTAGTGTACACGAAGAGCACATTGGAGAGCTCATATCACGCCATGACAAGGTCTCCACAAAGGCAAAGATAGGGTAATAAGAGAGAGGCACGCAACACTGAAGGAATAGCAGAAACATAGACATCAAACATTCAAGGGGTTCGAACAGCAAAGTGGGGAGGAGTGATGATCTGTCATGGACGAATTGATCTCCCTTGTGAAACATGTCATGTAGAGGAAGATGGCATTCTCCTTGCCACGAGAATCCTTTGGCCACCTCACAAAGGGATAGATAGAATTGTCATTTCTTTGCCACAATCTCATTTCCCCGCGTCACAAAGAAGGAACAATTGCAGCCAAATCGACAAAGAGACCTACCTTTGTTGCTTGCCACTCAAAGGAAAGCGAAAGCTAGACTTGGAGATGGTACAGTGGCAGTCGAGTGTGACAGGCTTTTCACTTCCCTTATCCCTTGTACGTCGAGAGGCGATGACATTGAATGACATTGAATGACATTGAATGACATTGAATCTTGAGTGCAATCCCTGTTTGCATCTTCCGACTTTCAGCATATTAGTGACGGTGTTCCACCCTCAGAGCGACTTCTCTCATCTCGGTTGCTTCACCGAAAACACTCAGCTTCAGGAAGAAAAGACCGCAACCACAATGTGTCAGAGTAATCTTCAAGTCTCCACCTCATGTGGCCACCAGCAAAAAGTCCACCCCCTCCAGCATTGCAAGTCCTATTCTCACACGCGAAATCGCTGTGACGGCACCGTCTCCGTTCTCCATACAACCACAATCAACGCCGCCCCCACCCTCTGCGTGCGCTGCGCCTCTCGCATCGAAGCGAACATAGTCCGAGAGCTGGACCAAATTACCACGGAACTAGAATCAAATATCGCAGAGATCAACCACGGTTTGTGGGTCGAGAGAAATCGTCCTTTTATTTATGTCGCGTCGATATTCGAGCGAGCGAGGCTGAGGGAGGCGTTGAAGGGGTTCCGGGAGGCGATGGAGGAAGAGTTGGTGGAGTTGAGAGAAACGCATGGTATGGGTCGGTGGGATCGAGTTGCTGACCTTCGGGGATGACGGGTGGTTCACGTTTCGGCACTTGCGGATTGAGGCAACAAATAGCTGTTTAGCCCTTTTCTTTGTGAATGAATGAATGGTTTTTGAATTACCGCCTCAGATCTCTTTCTTACATTGCAGGGATGGTGTCGTAGGCCCCGCGCAGACTGATAGCCAACATATTACGGCTGCCCGTCCGCTTCATACACATTGTCTGAACGTGTATCCAACTCTCCAAGTTGCTTCTGATTAGAGCCGAGCTCCTGACGCCTCGCCTGAATGCTCATCTCGTAGCCTTGGTATATTCCCTTTGCCTCTCTCACTTTCATAGCAGCATAGATATCATCAGTCACTTTCTGCGCGCGAAGCCGCTGCTTACGTTCCCGATAGAGCAGTAAGGCCAAACATGAAAGCAGTAGTACGCCTAGTGGTACGCCGACTCCCGCTCCGATTGCCGCTGATCGATTAGATGACGATGCAGGCTTAGAAGATGAAGTGGTCGATGAGCTTGCCGATTTCGAAGCCGTTGCAGGTTTCGAGGAGGTGAATGCGGTGGCTGATGTGGAGGCAGCTGGAGTGGATGAAGTTGCAGTCGACGCATTGCTTACCTGGGCTACTCCGAAAAAGCTTCCGATGCCAGGGGCATTCATGGTGAAGTCAGAGGTATCGCAACAGCCAGCCGCAGCCTGCGAGCTGCCTTCCACCGCTCCACAGCACCAAGTGTCCGTATAAGAGCCACTATTAACAGGGCAGGGATACAGGTTGCTGAAGCTATGTATAGAATCTACCGTTGTGTCAGCGCAGGTGATGTTGCTCTGGAGAGCGAGAATTGAGTACCAGATCTACACGAGGGACAACATGATTCTGACGCCCAATTCACATCGGTGCAACCACCGCGGTAGGCAAACCCAGAGCCACCGAAACAGTAGCCGGTTGTTGAACAGCCGTCCCCTTCAGCGCAGCATGCACTGTAAACCCCCTCGGCGACAGATGCGTTGCATGGTTGATAGCCCGTAGCGACCGATTTATCAGGATAGTAGCATGTAGCCTCTATTAGGTTGACAAAGGAAAACCACACAACGTGTACAGCTGCACGTGACGACTCCCGAAAGGTATGCATAGCGAAGAACGCCTGCGAAAAGGGAGACTTTGTGAGACAACGGAACTTTGAGAGAGGCAAGCAAGACAAAGCAGGCATGAGCACTTGATGACAACTGCTGAAGGAAGGGTAGTACTTATAATTCGATCTGCCCTGATCAAGTAAAGCAGTCTATTTTCGTGTTACAATTTTTTGTAACCTTGCGGAGTCAGCTCGGCCTCATGCTCTCGGTCAATAGCGCCGATCGCAGCCTTCGGATCAGAATCTATGCAAAGCCCAGGTCTTTTTGAAACTTGATCGTCTCTATGAGGAAGTGGAGGGCCCCATTAGGCGCTGAATGAAGGATGTAATGGTTATCACAATAACCAAAAGAGCAAATTCAAATCCTTCGTTTCAGACTTAGAACGTTCAGGCAGCGTGCAGGCAGAGGTGAAGGAATGAAGACGAGACTTTGCGTCATACATCTCTGACGCCCAAACTTGTGACAGAAGTGCAGGATAAAAATGACTGCTTGAGATTGATTCCCTTCCCCAGTTTAAAAGTGCCACCAGCGCGTAGAGAAGAGCGCGTGCTGCCAAGTCTATTTTCGGGTGGGAATAACAGTATCCAGTTTTTTTTTGGGTTTTTTTTTTTTTTTTTTTTTTTTTTTTAATGGGGGTTGTAAAATGGTGTTGGGGGGTTTTTTATTTCTGTCCAGATACTTAAAGTAAGTGATCCCAGCAGCTAGTCTCTTTTGGGGCGAAACCAAAAGCCCCCCCCCCCCCCCCTTCCCCCCCCCCCCCCCCCTCCCATTATATATTTTTATTTATTTATTTTTTTATTTTTCTTTTTTTTTTTTTTTGTTTTTTTTTATTTTTTCTCCCTTTTTTTTTTCCCCCTCCCCCTTTTTTTTTTTTTTTTTCCCCGTTTTTTTTTTTGTTTTTTTTTTCCCCTTTCCCCGGGGTTGCGGTGGGGGGCTTTTTGGGGGTTTTTTGGGGGGGGGGGGGAAACCTGGGGGGCCCCTGACTTTTGGCCCCCCCGAGGTTTGTGACCTAGCGCGATGCTTCTGGCCGATTTGCCAGAACTCTCGATGTGTTCGCCGTCGTGATTCATAATAAAGGGCGCAAGATGACCTACCTACTTGATATACAAGTACTATTGATGTGTTCCAAGCGAACGTTATGCTAGGAGCTGCGGGAAATGCTACGAGTATGGCGTCAGGAAGAAATGCCCAGTCTCTTCACCAGGACGTGAAAGCTGGTCCAAGTTGGGCGCTGCATCCCGCCAGTGTTACGACACCTGTTTGAAACACAGCAACGAGATTTGTGGAAGTTTTTTTTCACTCTTCCGTCGTGGGTGGCCAAGTGCTCCTGTTCAATACCATAAGTGGGTTCAGGAGCCTTGGGGCCTGAGGGTGGTGCTTGCTTGGGAGCTGGCCGTGGATGCATTGGATTTCGCAAGGGAGCCATGGTTTGCTGATGGAGTTTTGCTTGCGGAAGTCAGAGATTAGCAAGATGTGTGGCGTATTTGGGACTAATTATACGCAAATGGCGATCAAAACCTCGACCAACAGGGAGACATGAAGCCGCTCTGGAACGATCTTGCCTCTTGAAAGGACGCAGTACTTTGCTCTTTGTCAGCCCAACTTTACCGTTCGTTCATCTTTCTATATTAACCAAAAGCGAGCAAGTTCTAGTCTTGTAACAACAACTACTTACTTTTCTCTCTTAAATCCTTCCGCCACGCCGATACGCCTAAGAAGAACACTCTTTCAATTCCCCTGTTGAATAACCTGACGAGCCTCCGCCTCCAATACCTCCGTCCGAAAAATTTCCCCTTCAACCACGTTCTTGCCTTGCAAATCACCAGATCCCAAGTCTCCCTCTCTTTGCCCATCTTTTCCTCCAGAAACGCAATAAACACCAAGGTGATCCAGTACGATTCCCTCTTTTTACACAGGACTTTTTCCTTGATACCCAAGATACTGGTAAGCTGCGTCGCCTCAGTCCAGGAGCCCTCGAAGTCTTGCAGCTCGATGATGGAAATGACTTTTTCACTGTCGGTAGCAACATGTCTGTTATTTCTTTGGGTGGAGCCAAGGGCCTCAAAACGTTCTTCGACCGCCGCTGCACCAGACTGAGAGGACGGACCAGCCGATGCCATTGAACCGAACATACCATTGGCACTGCCAGTATGTTTAGTTGGCGATCGGGAGGATTGCTTATATCCGATGTTGTGAAAGCGGAGAGGCGGACCAGCAGAGATTGAGCCGAAGAGACCGCTTTGAGTTGGTGGACCCGCTGATTGGGTTGCTGTTCCTCTACTCTGAGATGGTGGGGTAGTGGTCGGCCACCGCGGCCTCTGCCGCTTTCTTTGGTCGGACGCCCTCCATGTCCTATAGAATAATGCGAAGAGAACCACGAGTCGTGTCCCTTTGCTGGCGTGATTTCCCTAGGAGGGGGAGTGTGTCTAATAAACCAAAACCCATGTCCTCGTCACTTTCTTCGGCTTCATCGGATTCGATTCCTGCTGAAGGGCAAGATTCGGACTCACCAAAAGATGATGTGCACTCTTAGACTACGGCCTCAACGCTTTGCATATCGTCTTCGGAAGGCTTCATATTCGTGTGTTCGTTCCCAGATACGGCTATGAACGAGCACTACTTCCCACCCACTTGGAATCGTAACCCCAATCGAACGGCCTCACGTTGGACGATCTCCTCAAAACAGCTGGGATGAATGTCCTTCAATAGCCTTCCACTCTCGTTGTCTTTGGCATCACAGATCCAGCCTCGACCTTCCTCGAGCTCTTGCATGAATTTCTTCGCGGCCAATTGATGGATCTTTTTGCCTGGCTCAGGCAATCTTTGGATCGGGACCTCAAGCTCCAGAGGCCCTTGTGGAGATGCGCCCCGCAAAATCACCGACTTGGGAGTCTTTTGGGTGGAATCAGGAGACAGAAGGAGGTAGGCTGTAGTTCGTGCGAAAGGGAATAATGGAGGTATCCGGTGTGGTCCTTGTAGCAGCTTTGGTGTTGGAACACCTGGCAGATGTGCATACGGATCCTCATTGTCATTGCCCAGCGAAAGCGGGCACACTTCCTCTTCTGTCTTGATGCTTGAGTCGAAGAGCGAGATGGGATTTTCATGTTCTTCCGTTGTTCCCTGTGGTGTCTTTTGCTTGGTAAGCATGACCTTTATACCGTCTGTCAACCATCTCCCACGTTACGTCACCCTCTTCTTTTGTAGATTTCTCATATCTGAACTCCATAGTGTAGTCTGAGACGTGCGGAGACAATGCTGCCTCCAGCATACGAACCATTTTTTTTGTCAAGCTTCTCACCTTCGCCAACCATCTGCGCGAAACCTTTGCCAGCACGAGCGACGCCCTCAATAAGGCTGGTAGAAACGCCATCGCCAATTCCTAGTGGAAGCACGCGAATGCTGTCGCCAACAGTGTCGTTGAGATAGCTGAAAATTTCGTGTTGGCGACATATGTCACCGTCAGTCAAGACCAGAATCTCGCAGTCGAGGTCTACGAAACGGCTGTCGATGGCCGCTCTAACGGCATTCTGAGTCTCAGTCCCGCAGTATTCGGCCTTGAAATTTTCGACATGGGCTATCGCCTCCTTTAGCGAGTCATTGTCATATGATCGGCTTTTGGCCCAAAGGAAAGAGTGAATCGATCCAAAGGAACAGATATTAAACTTCACACCGACCGGTAAAGACTTTAGAAAGACTTTCAGCGCAGATATCAGCATCGGGATCTCGTTGACCATACTGCCACTGCGATCTGCGACGAAAATGATCTCAGGTCGTGCAGGAGGCATATCAGCCTCCATTTCTCCTTTATCTCACACCCAGAAAGAAGGCTTCCGATAGCTTTTGAGACCGGCATTTCCTGCACCAAGCTCTCGCCATCGGTATATTCTACTGACACTCTCGTGTACCAAGCACTCTTCTCGTCAAACTCTTCATTCCACACGCAGTCAATCTTCCGGATCAAGTCCCAAGTATCATCGCGCTCAAGGTTTGCCTCGCTGAATTGCTCGAGCAGGACTTTTCGATCTAGCAGCTGTACAGCAGCGATGTACCGCGTACTCATCTGAGCGCCGGTCGTTGTGATGGGTCGACCGATCTGCTGACCACCGTGTGCGTGAGGAGCCTTGGGCCGCTCGATCACAATCTTGCTCACGGACCCGAGGTCTGCGAATCTTTCGGGCTGCTTTGCCTGCAGCGTAGTAATGCAGTCAAAAGGAGCATGTGTCGCGATCATCGAGTTGTATTCCTTGAGTCTGATCCCTTCAATGCCTCTCCAGTGCCGTCCCAAGCCATCAATGAGCTCGTTCTCTTTGTAAGTGGGGTCATACGTCGAGCCTTGACCGAAGGTAGAGAGATAGCCGCCATATGGTCTCTCGAAAACTTGATCGATGCCTGTATAATTTTCTCTGGACATCAAAGCGGCAAAGAGTCCGTTGCGGGCGGCAAAACCGTGCTGCATGCGCTTTGCCATGCTTTCATATTGTGCAGACATCAAATCGCAGGCTTGGGTGCACGCTGTGCCAAGGGAATCCTCTATCTTTCCAGAGGGGAGATTAAGGGAGGTTTGAAACCGCGGCTGCTGCGACTGGAGGACAGAAGACGGCGCCCTGGTTCGGATGATTCAGCTATTGGCAGCCGAACTGAAGTCTCCGGAAGGAGCACCTACGCTGTGCCACCCACGGCTCAGCATCTCAGGACCGTGGAGGGCACGGCCGATTCGGGAGCCGAGCTCGAAGCCTACGACGGTGGAGATGAAGAACGTTGCACCATCAATCCCGCATCCAAACCCTGAGCGTACTCCGCTGCAGCGAACAGAGCTGGCAGTATGATTGAGTTGGCACGCCACGGTGCATCAACGTGGACATCATCGAGCTCGAATCCTTGAATAAAAGACCCATCCAAGAGGGCTGCATTGAGCGGACTTGTGCGCTGGCTGTCCTAAGTACAGGGTACAAGCAAACAGGGAACATTCCGAACTCAAGGAAAAGTAAAGCTTGCACGTACCTTGTTCCAGCCAAAGACGGCGCACTTGCCAGTCCCCTCAACGTCCATACAGGCTGCGTAGCTACTTTTGACCATGGCAGCTTTGCTCCTACGATAGCACAGGCGATGGCATCGAGAACCAGATACTTGACCTTGGTCTGGACGTTCGATGGCATGTCCGAGAGCTGGACTGATTCTATCCGGTTGCAGACCTGTCCGGCAATCCCATCGGGAGCACGGCATGGAGCTCGCGAAGATCGGAATCCGGTGTTGTACAAAGATGCTGGAGCACTTTTGCCGATTCTTGTTGCTGGCAAAATACGAGACATCGTGGAAAGGTCTCTGCTGGGGTAGAGAACACTGTGTAGCTCGAGTGAGCGGAAGGATGAAGCGAATAAAACGCCCTCATGATAGACGGCTCAAGGACGAGAGGGGAAAACATTCGTAGAAGTTGTGGCTCAATTGAGAGAATGTACGTTTCACAGCATTGCAGAGCCAGAGCCAGTCTCTTGGCCAATTGGCGAAAGCTTGGTTTGCATTGGGTGGGCAGCAGTGATCGCAGAAGCCCGGAGAAATGGTTTGAAAAGGATACGACTCCTAGAAACTCACTCAGGAAGAGAAATCTCCATATGAACACTAGATTATGGATGCATATCTGCATGGTCTAGTAAAAGCCATCAATGTTCAAGCGTGGCGAAACAAAAGGTGGGCCGAGCCTCGGTGCTCTCGGCGATCTTATGCGAGGGTGTGAAGATGCAATGCATGTGGCTCGCACATCCTTTCTAAATACCTTAAAACGTATGCAGAATGGGTATGTCAAGTTCAAAACACGGTCCAGGAACTCAACCTCGGACCCATAGTGCGGGAAGGGACGGGACGAGTGCTGTTGATCATTAGGTGTAATTAAACAACAATTGTTTGATGAACATAATGTAACTAAACCAAGACCTTCAAGATACAGAATTTGAGAATAGTATCAGTTTCTAGAGAGTAGACAGCGGGAAAGAAAGACAAAATACATGTTATTTATTGTCACATATATCAAGTATACCTCGTAACGAAACCTTCGAGTCTGCATTAGTGCACATCTCTTTGAACAGGCTCGTTTGAAAATACCTTTACCAGCTAGACCAAAGTCTCGTTCTCGGCCTCCCCTTTCCCATTCTCATCCAGCACCAGGCTATCCATATGGTGTGCGTAGTTGTACAGCGACCCAGCCTTTTCGCCCACCTCATTAATCATAGCAATAGATTACGTGATGGCACTAGCAGACTGCCACATCGATTTCGTGTGTTTCGAACAAGGCTGGCTGAGTGCGACAGTCAGAGCGCCATCAAGCCTCTTTTCGATCAAAGAAAGTTTTGCGGTAGGGTGGGCTGATAATTAGATCGGATGCGGAGCTGCTGCTCGAGAGGAAGACGAAAGCATGCTGCAGTTCTTGGCGTCGATTCGAACGAGGAAACCCGACCAAGGGTCTGTTGGCTCTGGATGTGGGTTGTTCCAAAGTCGCGATAGATCGCAGCGGCGGAATGCCGCTGGGGAACATTGCATCAAATGCGCCTTCTATGCAAACAGATGTTGAACTTCAGAGTTGCACACCGTTCTTCATCCGTTAAGTTCTCCGAGGATGTGAGAGAGCTGGGACACAAAGGTTACGAGAGCTTGGGCAGTCCAGATATGAAAAGACTTCTATTTACCCGTCCAGAATATCCGTATAGACCGTCGGGAACCTTTCTCTCGCTCTGTTTCACATTAGCCTTCCATGCTGGTATGAAAGTCAATATTCACTTGAGCAACGTGTTCTGCACTATCAAGCATACCTGCCCAAAACATATGGAGATGTGGTGGCCTGACCAGCGAGGGAGACTATTTCGTTCGGATATCAGCGTGGTGAGAAAAATAACAAGAGGGTGCCGTAGCTGGTCCGTCAAGCTTTTTTTAGAAAGTTCGATTAAAGCGGCCAATGGCAGGGAGGGCTGTTGTTAATTCCGTTCATGTGATCAGCATCATGATTCCAAGTCTATCAGTCCTTCTTGAAATGCTGAGAGACGCCGGGAAAGACATAGCAGATTCAATATATTCTTCGATATCGAAGTGAAAATTCCCCTCCCCTAGAAGCCATTGCACTGCCGCTGTCAAAGCAAAAAGCTTCCTTTCTCAACCCCTGGCCCCCCTCCCCCTTCATTTCTGCTCATCCTCTGGCCCTAGCGGCTTCTCCCCCTGCTTCTCCACGCTCTCCCTCTTCTTCTCCGCTGGCTCCTCTGGATTCCTCTTCACCGCATCCTCCGTAGGTGTACCCTCATCTTTGTCGCCCGGAATAGCGCTCCGCTCCGACACAGGTTGTTGCACACTCGCTGTATCTGGGGAATTGGCACCCTCGGTCCCGCGGGTCTTCTTGAGCTGGGCTTGATCGCTGGAACTGGATTGCGGGTTGCCGAGGTCGCCTTCGGCGAAACGGGGATATGTGGTTGTGAGGCTGCGGCGGACTGTTACGATTGTTAATCTATGAGTTGGTAAAGGAGAAAGGGGGAAGGGGAGAGGTACAGATGGGTGGGGTGAAGGGATAACGGAGTGGTTGGAGGGACGCCGGGGAGCGTGTGGAGAGACGGAGGATGCGGGATGCCATTGTCACGTATACTTGAAGTTTTTGTACTTTTGATAAGAGAGGCTCGATTTTCTCGAGTGTGAAGTAGATGGCAACAGCATAGCTTCTCCCAGCAGCGCTAATGCGAGCTTGTGACTACGTCATGGAGAGGTCAAAACTTAGCGGAGGAATTGGATCAATGCAGTTTTAGAAACACCATCTCAAAGATTTAAAAATATTATCTTTGACTTCAGTTCCCACACCTGCTTTACGCCAATTGGCATTTGCCCTGTCGTACAAATACGCCTTTGAAAATCGATACCATTGCTATCATGCCTTCCTAGACGCTATGCATATGCTGCTTGCTTCCAATGATCCCCCCTTGCCCCTTGCCCCTTGTCCCTTGCCCATGCTCCGTCAGAAGCATCCTCAGGCTTTATACAGCGTGTCCAAGAAACCCTCAGCCAGACTGTTGACCACACTCGGATTCGGGAGACTCCCGGCGACACCGTACAACGCCGCCGCATCGCCTTTCGCTCCGCCCTTTGCTCCCTTGCCTTCCACAATTCTTACCCTCTCCTTTTCCTTCTCCTCTTCTACCACTGCCACGAGGTCTCCGATAAGTTTGTCCACGGCAGCGACAACTGGTAATGTTACAGCAACATGAATGGCTGGTGGCCTTTGTAAGGCATTTAGATGCCATCCTTTACTCGACATAGCATCGGCAAGATCGTACACGTTGAGAGTTCTCGACGTGAAAGCGACAACGCTGACGAGCGGCTTTCCCATGACAGTGAGATCGTCCCGCAGAGAGGGTTGCTCTCGGATGGTTGATTCAATTTTCTTAGCAGCGCCAACTATTTTATGGCAACTATCGATGTAGCCGCTTTCGCCTTGAGACATTAGGCTAGCCCAACAGGTGGCAATGAGAGCACCAGGACGTGAGCCTGCAATGCTCGGTGAGGCGTACACGCCCCCCAGACCAGTCGGCGGAGACGAAGTACTGGTACGTGCGGAGCGCCGATGTCCGGTAAAGAAGGACAGAATTTCCTTTGGGCGCAAAGCCGTATTTGTGGGTGTCGCAGGAGATGCTTGTGACGCCTTTCAGGGTGAAGTCAAACGGGACAGTTGGGAAACCCGCGCGTGCGAGAAAAGGGACTAGGAAGGAGCCGAGACAGCAGTCGACATGAAGAGGCAGAGATCCTTTCTTGCGGAGAGCGAGGCGGGATAGAGATGTAATGTCGTCAACGATGCCGTGAGGGAAGTTTGGGGCAGACCCAACGAGAAGTATGGTATTGCTGTTGATTAGACGAGAAACACTGGGTATGTGTACACTGTATGTTGGTGCCGGACAGGCTACCAGGTGAACCTTGATACCGAAGTAAGCGCCAGCTTTGCGAAACGCTGCGTGAGCAGTATCTGGTATTACCCTGTACTAGTCAGCAAAGCCCTTCACAGTCCATAGCTGCACACACATTTCAGGCTCAGTGACGCCCCCGTTCTGCGCGCGCCTTCTGCCTAGCGCTCAAGCACGCCATTAATATTGACTCCGTGCCACCACTCGTAGTAACTCCAGCTCCTCCAGCTGGTGCATTGAACATGGCAAGGACCATAGCGACAATCTCCGCCTCCATCTTTCGTACTCCTGGAAAGACGTCTGGATGTATCGGATTTGCAACGCTGAACTTTTCAAAGGCCTCTGATTGTAGCTTGATCAATTCGTTCCCGCCATGGTAAACCGCTCCGCTAACAAGGCCATCCTCCCAGCGTGTATGCTCCATACCACCAAGTATTTCCAGCTCTGCCCTCACTTGCTGCTCGGTCCATCCTTCCTTCGGTAGCGTGAGGTATCGACTTATGCCAGGCCCTTGAGGGACTAGCTTTCCTTCGAGTTTGGTAATTGCTTCAGTGACTTGCTTTTGTACTTGGCTACGTACGCCAGGACTTTTTAGGAATATGCCGTAAAGCGTCCGTCGTATCGAGATGTACGCCTCCGCCACTGTCCCGAAGAGCCCGCGGCCTTTGAGCTGCAAGACACCTTTTCTTGTCCATCGTAAGAGAAAGAAGAAGATCAGGTTACGGAGACTGTATTCAGTATCAGTACCGGTGTGGTGCACAACGCGTATAGAGAGCTTCTACATCTCAGTGCCTATATTGAGAAGTTAATTGCCGAGGGCCTCCGGATTTAACTGAGCTTGGCATCATCGGACGGGACAAAAAGTTGAATAACTACTATCGCTGCACATGCTTGCCGTACGCCTTGCTGATTCCCATAGTTCAAGTCATGCCTAAGCAGCATCTTTCCATTGTCCAAAGCGTCCAAAAGTGGAAGAGGCAAGGCGTCATTGCCAGCGACCTGATCGAACTTTGGGAACATCGGCTCTTCGCGTCCCATAGCCAACAACTCGGCGATCGCGTCCTTTGTAAGACTGTAGGTTTGCGTGAAAATCAAGGATTCTCGGCTCGAGGCAGCTCCACAGTTGCTGTTCCAATCCCCAAGGTGCCAGCTGCATGAATTCGTCCCGAAGTCCATCAATCACCTGTTCGATCAGCCCGCTACTGGCTTCTCAATGTAGTACCCAGGATCCGGTCTCCTCCTTTCCCGCATCTCTGCGTTTGTCAACGCCCTCTCCGGTGACCTCCAGATACGGCAACTGGCTCTTTCGATCCTCATGATCTGACCTGCGGTGGA